CCCTTTTAGCCTCATATCGAGCTGCTCTCCCTCGGTGACCCCGGGGTCCTTTTCTGCAGAATTGCTACCTAGCCATTCGGTCCCTAGTCTGTAACAGTGCATGGGATTCTTCCGTCCTAAGTGCAGGACTCTGCACTTGTCCTTGTTGAACCTCATCAGGTTTTTTTTGGCCCAATCCTCTAATTTGTCTAGGTCCCTCTGTATCCGATCCCTACCCTCTAGTGTATCTACCACGCCTCCTAGTTTAGTGTCATCTGCAAATTTGCTGAGAGTGCAGTCCACACCATCCTCCAGATAATTAATAAAGATATTAAACAAAACCGGCCCCAGGACCGACCCTTGGGGCACTCCGCTTGAACCATCACTTTAATCAATTCTGGTTTATTGGAAAATGTTATCAAAATTTGTTGGGCTGCAGGTTTACTTTATTGTGGAGTAGCCAAACATCATAATAATAAATTGAGATAGTCTCTCTCTTAGAACTGGAAGGGACCCTGAAAGATCATTGAGTCCAGCCCAGGCCCCTGTCTTCACTAGCAGGACCAGGTACTGATTTTGCCCCAGATTCCTAAGTGGCCCCATCAAGGGCTGAACTTGCAACTGTGGGTTTAGCAGGCCAATGCACAAACCATTGAGCTATCCTTCCCACCCCACATATACCAGCTCTTTAGCTGATAGTTGAATGCTCATACTTGAACCCTCGCATCTCCATCGTCTTAAAACAAATCTATGTGATCTAACTAATCGAAGGAAAATCTGTGAGCTCAGCTTTTTCCGCGTGGGAGTTCAGTTGATCAGTACCTGGATTGCACTTGGCTGAATAGTGTTGGATCTACTGATTAATCTACCTTGTATCTGGTAACTGATGCTGAAAATTATATCAAGATTACTTTTGCAATTCTTTATCAATGAGGTTGCCCTTAGAACTTCTCTAGAATTCCATCCAAAAATTAAAGGGAAAATGGAATTCAATCAGGAAATTTCTCTTCTATCTTTCTCTCCTAAACTATCCTGCCTAGTAGAGGTTATTCTCTATTCTCTTCATGTCACCAAACCTTCAAGATTTAGTTAAATGGACAGTTTCTTTTGAAAATAGGATGCCTTTTTATTATTTATAGCTAAGATAGAATAGGTGATAAGGGCTTTTAAAGCTAGTATTTTATCATCCATTTAATCATCTTACAGAGAATCATTTCCTAATTTTAAGATTTCCTTTTCAGGTATCTGGGTAGCTAACAACTTTTATCCCCAAAGAAATGAGGTTTTGCTCTCCAACTGTTACAAAGTAAATGCGGACACAATAGTCCAATGGTTGGCAGCCCAGGAACGCCAGATATTCAGTATGATGGGGTATGCTAACTCCATACTGGGTCTGAAGGAATTAATGAGGACCTGTCCATGCAATCAGCCTCAAATAGTTTGGATCCCCTTTGTTTTGAGTCCTGCAGAAAAACCAGCCCAGGGAAGAGACTGTGAGATAGGCCTAGCTGCAGGTCATGGTAGGAAGCAGCCCAGGGAACAGACCTCATCTGCTTCATGCAGGGTCCTTTGGCTTGAACCCAGAGTAAAAGGGGGCTTGGGCTTCCCTACTAGCTCACATAGGATAGGGGCATAAAGCCAAGGACTGATGTTGGGACAAACCTCTCGCATGATACTGCCAGACCAGTGGCGTGCTGAACTCAGGTTTCCTCAGAAGGGGCAGCATAAACCTAGTTTGACATGTTTAATTAGACATGGATGAGTTCTCATTTATTGGGAGACAGGATTATGGAGGTAAATAGATCAGCATCTGAAAACAGAATGGCTGTGCTAAGTGAGATTAGGTAAATGGAGCAGTAAGCTAAAAGACACCATGTCTGTACTAGCTAAGATAAGGGGAGGGAACATCCAGAGAACGATTTACAAAGAACAAGATAGCTATGGACCGGAGAGGTTAGGAACATGAAGATTAGGTAAAGAGTAGATCATACATGGACAGTGCATGAACAGAGGATTCTGTACAGGGATTGATTCCTACAAAGTAACCAAACCAATCCCAACACATGTGATGCAATGTATAGTAAATGCAATGTGACATATAAAGGAAGAAGGTTTCTGTGTAACT